AGCAAACAAGAATTCCATGGAGACAGTCAGTAAATTGCGAGTACGAGACCTGGATGAACACTCAAGCTGAGACTAACAATACTACGGGCTTAATAAGTCCCGGGTTTGAACGGCTTAATAAGCCTCGGAACTAAAGAAAGAAACACATTCCTTTTCTTTATGTAAGATTGGACTTTAGTCGTCAACACATCACTAGTTTCACTAAAGAATCATACAACCAGCCCAAAGCAGCTTTAGAGTTTTGATGCTTTTTGTATAAAAACATTTTTATTAAAACTCTCACAATGCGCTTCAAACTACGCAATAACCTTTTCATTTACTCCAAGTCCAAGTCTTTTCCATGGAGCATCGTCTAGACAGGTAATAGTCGTTCAGGACCAAATCTGGAGAAAACGGTGTGGAAACAATTCCAATTTTAATTAATTCAACTTTACCATTCCAGCTTTGCGACTTGTGATTTTGCTAAACACGATGACTATTTTGAAAACATGTTTCTCATTCGTAAATTTTCAAGGAAACTAATGAATATATTGCTCTTCGAGATCTTGTAACTTTATTTTCGTTTAGCGGGTTTCCTGGTGCACCAAATGCTAATAGGCCTTTACCGCGCACATGCAAGATCGAGATTCATGCGCCCTCACTTAATTTCATTCACCCACTGAGATAGGGAAGAGTTACTATAAAACATTTCAAGCTAACGTTCAAGATGAAGGATATTTTTTTCCACCGAGCGCCATTAAAATCGTTCTAACTCGGAGAAACAGTGATCGAAAAGAAATGAAATTTTTAGAAGACGTTCGTTGAAATTGACCAATGTATTATTTCACTTTACTGAATGATTTGATAATAGATAGAACAGAGTATTTGAATTTCAAGTATAAAGAGGCAGAGATTGGGTCGGACAATTCCAAAATAGCAGTAGCAGCGTTTTATTACCGGCATTTTTAATGGACTGGATAATTTTTCAAGTGCAAATTTTATCCACTCTATGAAATCATTAAATAAAAGATCCTAAAAAGTCCTTAATAGGCCATTTTGCCTTATTCTTAAGGAAAAAAACTCGTCAAATATGTAAATGTATGAACACTTAAAACTTTAAATCGCTTTCGTCAGTGCGGCTTAAAAGCTACAAAGAAACGAGAATAGAGGAAGAAAATTGCAAAAAAAAAAAATTAGCTAAGACTCCTTAGCGTCGCAAATGAACGAGAAGTGGTAAATCGACAGGTTAGGATGATGATGAGTAACCTGGCGTTAAGTAGTCTGAAGGGAAATGCTTAAATATTTGAACTACTCGAGAAGAATTACATTCTAGTACATGGCCGGCTACTCAGGGTATGTCACCTATTCGCGCAACCATGCGACGATTTGAAAGAACAGAGGGAAGAGAAAAAGAGAGGAAAGTGGCCGCGGCTTAGTGGTTGTGTGCCTATGTTATGCCTCCACCGACCTTTATCTTCTGGACATCACCGACATGCTTTCTTTCACAATTTTTGTATGTTACAGTACTTATGATCCACTTTGCTACAAAACAAGCATAATAATGGAAAGCTTTAGTGATCGAGAGGCCTCTAACCAGAACGTATTCTACCTGGAAGGTCTACCTTCACGAGTGTTCCAAATTGATTATTATAATTTTCAATGTTGCCACGCTTTTTTTATCAAGAGGGTAGGGTATGGCATCAAATCTACGAAATTGGCCAAAATGATTCTAAACCCAAGTATATCAAAAATGTTTATATATTGTGGGTGTAGCAAACAAGATTAGGAGATCAGCTAACCACTACTTGCTAATGGTAAAAATAAGGATATGACCAGATATATAAAAAAAGTGCCTAAGCCTACTTATAAAACATTAGCACGGCATATGAAATGGACTAAAAGGTTTTTTTTTTTTATACTTACCGCATGAAGATAAATGCTTTAAAAAACTTTGCAAACTTAAGCTCAAAAAGATAATGTTTCAACAGCATTTACCTTTAGATGTTGTGACCCCTTAGGGGGGTGCACACTAAAAAAGTAAAAAGCAAAAGAAGTTTTCTCTCTTGCAAAATTCACTTTGTTTTTGCGTTCATACTTGCTCGCATTCAAGCGTAAAATTTCAGTTCAAGGTATCGCAGCATTTTCACTCTTTTTGCTGCTAATTTTTTGGGTAGCTGCGGATTCTTCAAGTTTTATACTACAGACTATGAATAACGTTGATACTATGATAGCAAAATTTCTGTCAAAGTATTTCGAACAATTACAAAAATCCATTATCGTTCTTATGTTTAATAAAGTCAATGTTTTTATATGGAGTTCGAGAGTAGTGTACTATCAAGAAAATAAAATTGTTTACCTAAGTAAAGGTACAAAAATTTTCCTTAAAAAACTTCAAAATAATCGATTTAGAAGTATTTCGAAAAATACTTCAGGAAGAAAGAGGATGCTTTTATTTAAGAAAAAAATAATTTTTATAAAACAAAAAAGCATTACTTTTGTTTTGTGCTTCGTTACTTTGTTTGTGGGCTGTGAAAAAATTCTTTTTTTTTTTGTTTAATTTATAAAAATTTTATTGACTTTGATTTAAAAAAATGTGATGCAGCTTAAATTCGAGTACCATTTCCGTTACAATTTTGCTGGGGAAATATTTTCGCCAATAACATGGCGAAATGGCCTAAATGATTCTCTAAAACGGGCTGACACGTGCGATAACACGATTGCATGTTTTTATATCAGAATGAAATTTGTTGTAGTTCAAGGGCGCCCGCTATTGAAAATGATTCGAGTCGAACGACTTTTTCGACCACTTTCCATATAATGCATTGTTTTCAAAAGTCTTTATTTGAATCATCTGATCATCTATTTCATATAAAAAATATTTATAAAAAGAAAAATAATCTCTGTAACACGTCACAGCACAATTAAGGATCTGTTATGGGGAAGCCGCAGCTGTATGGAAGCGTAGGTCATTACAGCTTGAGAGGTATATGTGCTGCCGATAAGTATTATGGCGTTCCTGACCGAACATTCACCATCGCTGCTGCCGTATGCCAGTCGTCAATGTATTCGTGCCGACTTAATAGTCATGCTTGCTATCTACTGCCTTACGTGCTATGGTAAGTCATTTTAATTTAACACATGACACAGAACAAACAATTTGCACCAACAGTGGATAGGACAATTCCCATGATTTATTGGACGACAATACTCCTGGAGTGCCACAACGGGTATAGGCCATTATGTCGCTCCTGCACAAGACAAGATCTATCTGCCAGCACTGCGTTTCTGCCACAACGACATTCCGCAACCAGCGAAAACTGGATTCGGTTTGCGACATAATGTGTGTACACCCATGGCGTCGTCGTTGACATGCATTGACATTACGGCCCACACACCCGATATGTCCATCTTACTTTTGGTATTGCAAAGTTTTAAAGAATACATAATAGAGGGCGTTAATATTATTGAATAGTACCGAATTATAAGCTGACTAACTTCACGTTGAAGTGAGTTTACATTTCCATGATTTTTTTGAAGTGTACACAAGAAAAACTCTGTTGAATGTCGGCTTTTGTGGCAACCAAAGGTAGTTTAGGAACAACTTTATTTATCTACCTTAAAGAAGCAAAATGATGAAGCCAATCGTTTCCGGCTTATGCGGTGCAGATCGTTGGAACATGGAATGTGAAAATTTAACGTTCCTGAAATAGGGGCAACGAAAATAAGAGCAGGCAGACGTGGAGTGACTCAACAAACATCGTTGTAACGATATTTAGCCGTACAAACAATCCAAAAATAAAGGAGTTAAGTGTAATATGAGTTAAAGCCAAGAGATGTGGAAAGAAGACTTTTTACCTGCGAACATCTGCCACCACGGTAAAGGCAAAAAGGTTTTTGCGCCAAATCGTAACTAGTAATGGAAATTCCATTCATGCACCAACACCAACGCGATGCGCTACCGGCAAAACCAAACTTTTATGGTTCACAGGTTAATTGTTGATATCGGCTGGGTATTGTATGTTATGAAATGTGAAAGCATAAAGAAAGCATACGAGAAAACGCTGCCGGTTAAAAGTGATACTTTTAAATGAGCATTGGCTCCGAAATATGTGCGTAGACTGATGATGAAAATGATTTTGCAGCGTGACAATCTTCGACCACTAGTTGCAGTATTAATGGGAAGTAGAAGTAAATGGCGCTCAATACTTTGCGTAATGAATTCTGAATGAAGTTTTTGCACAATAAAGGCTCATTTGCTATAAGAAATTCTTTAGAGCTAACTTTTACTCTTAATAATGGAAAATTTTCTTACTTAACACTCATATGGATGGATGGCAATGGCTTTTAATTTCTTAATAAATCTTTAAAAAACATTTCTTCAAAGGAAAGATTTGTTATTTCGTTAACTCAGTTATTATTCTTCTGTTCGAAAACACCTATGAGGTTTTCTTTTATGCTTTGACAATTCTCGTGTGATGCACAAGACGCAGACGTTACGGTTAAGTGGTTTTGTTGATTTTTTTCTAGACTTGTAGACAGATGACAGATAATGCTTAAACCGAAACGTGTAAGCAATCGAAAACTTACTTATACACGTGCTGAGCCCTAGATGATGATAGTTGATAGATTTTCATAATAATAGCTTCAATACTTGCTTTTTCAATGAATCCTTTTCAAGCTTATTATGACGTCAACTACGGAAATTCAATCTTTTAATTTTTTCATTGTATACACGTTTACGTGTTCACTAATTTGTGTATTTTTTGCTTTGTCACGTTTCTCCGTTAATCTAACAGGCTAATCTGACTTTAATAGAGGATTTTCCCCTCCTCTCTTATTTACCGCTGCGTTTTGGTATAAGAAAACACGAGGTGTGAGTGTTTTGTGTTGCGTATGATTTTATTTTGTGTACAATAGTATAAAACTTGTATAAATTATCCTCGCTAACAATTCGAGCATATTTTCTAAATTAGTTTCGTTTGGTTTTCTTGCTCGTTTATATTTTTATTTTGTGTACTTACCGTTATTTTTAAACGTGCTATAGGTGGTGACTCTAATGTTTCTAGTATTGCGGTAGCGCTGTTATAATTTCCCACCAACAAACAATACTGGGCTACACCACTCCAAAGCTCGACAGTTTTACTGCGATCACGTATACCGCCGCACTGTAATCATTAAAACAATAAAAAGAAGATAAACAGAAAACATAAACATATAAAAATAAACCAAAACGATAAATGAAGGGGAGAAAAATATAATATAAAATTAATGAGTTGCATTTTTACAGATGGAGCTTTCTTTCCTTTTTTTTTTTAAATGGAGGAAAGTTTTTTCACCCACAACAGTGGTAAATGCATTATAACAAGTGAAAAATTCCGGCTCACTACTAAATGTTAGAAATAATACACGAGGTCTTAGAAGCAATATATAAGAAGTACTAATCTCTTGAGAGAGATGCATATGAAATTTTTGTTGCCCGCAGTTTTGCAGATGAAAGAAAACCCACTTAATAGAAGAATAACAGGTGCCTTTTTTGATAACATATCGGACGTGAAGGTAGTAGTGCTCAGATTAACCAAAGGTATGTGAAGTTAACAAGCATGTATATATTATAGCTTCAAGTCCTCTTATATAAAGATTGTTTAAAAAGTTTTCAATTCTCTAAAAATGTTTCAAATACGTAGCCCATTACATTTCAAAGCGACGCTGAAGAAGATAAATAATTTCGTGAAGTCTTAAGTATGGGTAAAAATAGGGGTGATTGCAAAACTAAAATTTCTACTGTAATCGTAAAATCCCAAAATGTATGTTTGTAAGTCAAAGACAATACTTCTTCGCATGCACATAGTTAGGGTTTGTCCGTGCTTTTTGCTTGTTTTCTTTTTAGTCTTAGGACCACTTTAAAAGTCCAACGACCGATAGAGCAAATATGCAAACAAATGACCCTGATATTTTGTTCTACAATGGACAACGGTTATGTAACACGTTTCTTGTCTTCTGTTGCAAAAGGAAACCGGAACGAGCAAAAGAATGCAAGAGAAAAGGGAATCCTTTGATTACCTGAGATCAGCATTAATAAGGTAGTAATAAGAAGGATAGTTAGTAATCAGTCAATGTGTTAAGCTCACTTCTAGCTAGCTGTCGTGTCGTTGCGTTGCGTGCCACAGAAAAAAGCGAATTGTGTGTATATATGCTTGTGTATGAATAAATTAGAAGTCGAATTGAAAAAAGCAATAGCTTTGTTTTTTTAACCGTAGATGCGCAATATATATTTGCTAGTAAAAATATTTATTTGACGCCCTACTCATGTTATAAAACAAAAAAACCACACCCAAAGTGAATTTTTGGCGATTTGAAAAACAAGTCTAACCTCTACAGTGGCATTCGACTAACTCTTAACTAATCTACAACACTTCAGTTATTCATACAGCGACTCTTGAAAACAAGTCGTTGTATGGAAAAAGGTCAAATGGTCATTCCGATCCGAACCACTTCCAATGGCATTCGTGCTTGGGCCACAACATAACGGTGCACGAAATATCTCAAGCACTGCGACATATATGCTGAACACACTTATGTTTCGGTATGATAACAGGTGACTCAGGTCCTTCAGGGTTTTGAATACGTCCGCACAACTTTAACATAGCCTTGTACCACAGATGGTGTAGAGTATAACAAGGAAAGTCGGCACAGTTTACAAACGCACATACTGAAAAAATACTCTTTTAATGGTTTACCTCGTATGTTAAGTAAGAGATATATAATCACGACTACGAAAGGTATTAATAGAGACAAGGATAACACACTACGTAAATTTGAAACTTGGTCTGTAAACCGGAAATGGAGAAAATTGTTGTTCTTTTAAGTATTCTAAAAGGAAAGACATGATAAAATGTTCTTCATAGCTAATGCAAACTATACCGGTCGCAAGAAAAGTAGCTACGGAAAGTTTAATAGCGATTCAATTGGTTTGCAAATTATTCAAGCAAGTGTGTCGTAGGATGAAACTCAAGCTCATAATATTTGTTATAGCACCTGCTGTTATGGAGTTAGAGGAGTCGAGCAAGCGTGATTCTAGTAAAGCAGTAGCGGATTATCAAACATAACGACTTAACAGCAGCAGTACTGTGGCTGTAAGAATGCTTCGTAATGAAAATCATATCATAATAGTAATTTAAATAAAAAAAAATTAACTATACCAAATTTGGATCATTTCGGCCTATTTTTTGGAACCTATTTTATATATAAGTTTTCTCGAAATTTGATCCTTTGTAGGGCAGAAAATTCGAAATTTTAAAATTGGTCCATAATAGTAGTTTGACGTAAAAATTAACTGGGCTGAATTTTGAATAAGTACCACAGTTTTTGAACCTGTTGGGCACAAGCATTCTTACGGCAAGTAAGACTTTATTCGCAAAGAGGTCTAAGTTTTTATATACAATCCCGTAATAATAAGTTCCCATAAAAATAGAGTACAATTTTTGTATTCTACGACAAAAATGTAAATTGTGTTAGACAATGTGGTGTAGGGTATTTAATAGTCGTGTTTGCCCAACCATAACGTTTTTACTTGTTATTATTGTGCGTTTTACTAAGAGGAAACGTTCAATTAATATTTAAAAGTTTTTTTTTTGCTTTTTAAATTCATGATACAACATTTAAAAACAACAAAAATTAAGAATCACTGATTGATTTTTTCATGCAGTTGTGTTATATGTCTATCATTGAATGTTTTGAACAGTGAAGTTAACGGAGCCATGCGGCTTGAAGCGAAATTTTTCATAAACGACCTTTTTGCATATGCATGCTAACAGTTGCCCTAGCGAATCTTATTTTAAATGAAACAACAAAAGAAACATTTGCATATGAAAAACCTTGGGAAATATTTGTGGAATGGTTACCAAAAGCCTTTCTTCATTCAATATGAAAAATATTACCCAGCAAGGATGAAATTTATAAATGATAAGAGTAGCAATACATGCAATGTTACATAATACGCAATTAATCTTTTTTGCTCTTTATGCTTACGGAGCTTTCTAGGATTTTTAGGCAGTTTATCTTTATTGTCGTTTACTTTAAACTTTCATTATTTACCTTTCCACATATGCTGTCACGAAAGGCCTACTCTTAGCTTAAGATGCCTGCAACAACCCAAGCAAGCATGCAAGTGCAGTGATTTGTTTTGGAGCAAGGACAAATGCTACTGAAAATGGTTCGGATCGGACTACTTTTTCGTGTCTATTGGTCGGGTCGGATGAAGTGGATGGCTTCAGTGAATCAAATATAGGATGTGCGTTAAGTATTCAAGCAAACCATTGTATAAATTCTGCGGGGACCTCAACTGAGGCTCTCCGTTTTTTTCCCTAAAGTACGCCGTTTTGGCCCTGCTTTAGAGTGGATGCTTTCCTATTAGCAACTAATTTCAAATGACTATGGGGCTCTTACGTGGATTTAGTCTCAGAGTGAATCTACCATTGCTACAAGTGTACTTGATATTGCTAGTCTTAAGACTTCTATACAATCTAAGACACGCCGTCAGATACGTTGTTCGGGTCACATCGTTAATGTTCTATAGGGAATGGTATTAGGTAAGAATATAGAAAGTAAAACTAATGCGTTTTTTAAAGCCGATCCCAAATCACATCGCCCTGCATGGAGAATTTGCACAACCAGAGGATAGCTAGAGTAACAGGACTTTGTTGTAAGATAAGTTTTTGAAAACAATGGTTCAGAGCTTTATGAATTTATATGCAATAATTACTCTCTTATTGTTTGTAGCTTAAGTTGTGTACTCTTTTTACATTAACATTAATGAAATTTGTAAAATAAAAAACAAAGACAAAAAAAAATGTCAATAAAAACAGAGAGAATTATGTTAATGATAATGGAAAAGTCACAGAAATCGTTCAAGCATTTTGTACACAAGTATATAGAAGTTGTGAATACCTGACCGTGCCTATAAACGGAAACATATCCTCACATATGCTCAATGGCATCGTCGTAAAATTATTTTGATGAATTTTAAATGAAGAAATAATTTTTCTCATTCACATACGGAAAGTCCTGATAACAAGGTAGAGGCAAGAAGTTGAAAAGAAAAAGACCAAAAGACCAATTGGATTGAACTTGTGTACTCACATACAAGGAAAACTGTATTTTGTGTAATAACTTATAGTACGTCATACATAATACATAGTTGTTACTCGTGAGATATCTTCCGATAACACGTATACTTTGTTACTGATTTTCATAAAATAATTTAATGGCGATATATAACATCTGTCTGTAATGATTTTGTTGCTATTTGTATGCATTTATGTGCGTTTGTTGTGCGGTTTCTGTTTGCACTCATTTTATAGCGCGGAAACAATGAAATGACCAACCAATGACAATGTAAAAATAAAGGAATTCTTGATTTCTCCATGGACCTCCTGCTGGTCATAAATTCGAATTTACTTTCATTTATAGATGCGATATTTATTGTTCATGCGGTTGAGTTGTGTAGTTGTTACTTGATTACATTTCATGTGTGCGATGCACCTCAGTTCTGCTTCTTTTTTTGTTTTAATATGCTTACCTGTAATATTTCGTTGCAAACAAACAACCGTAAACGTGCCGACCAATCCAAGTATGTCTCGAGATTACAAGTCTTCTTGGGGTCTTGTGCTCCAGGTGGTCCACCCAACGAACATGGTTGGTCCCATTTTTTCTGTCAATAAAATACGCAACAACTACTGTAGCAAAGCTTAAGAATGTTACAAAACGCAAATGCGTATAAGTCGAAGGGAAAAAGAAAAGTACTTAATTTCAACATTTGAATATTCATTAATTATACGTTTCTGTTTTTCTTCTTTTCTATAATTTACCCTTGCGCCCTGTCCGGTAAGTGCAACTTAAAAGCATTGAGAAAATGCAAATTATATTTCATTTTCACTCTTTTCAATCAATTTCCTGTAACCATCCTTTTTAATGATTTAAAAGCTCGCTACAACTTGAAAAGGCAAATCCTTGCTAAGACGAGGTTGAATAATGTGTCATAGGGGTAAAGTTAAGTAAGCGTCTGTTACTCTTATTCATACGATTCCTTACCTTCCAATATGCACATTTTGTGTAATATATCAGTAGCGTGTGAATATGTTCTCGCTGATATTTTTATAATATTTTTAAAAAGCACGAAGCATTTGTTGTGCACAATCCTAAGAGCATAAGTCGTCGGGAGAGCAGCGCGTTACAATATCGCAGAATATTTGTCTCAAAGTACCCTCCATAGACAGTTACTTCGTTTATTGTTCCCAAGGGAAGCAATAGTCAGCCTTTCGACTCTGTCCCGTTAAGTGCCTATTTTCTGTGTAACAGCTTAAGAATCGCAGTGCCACTTAGACAAGCACTAAGTAGTCTGCCGTAAGAGTAAAAAAGACGACCGGTGAGTACAGCTAGTTTCCCTCACATTTCAATTAAGCCCGCATGAATAGCCGTAGTATATAACAATTGCGACTATCAACTAGCACACTTGCTTGCAAATACAGTGATCGGTTAGTGGAAAGAATCACAATATCTATCGGTTGGGCTGCGCGCACTCTCTACCTGCACTTTTTCTTTCTAGCGGTAATAGCGTTACTCATATAGAAGACATTTGCTGAGTATTTGGTCACATTAACCAAAAAAAAGTTACTTCGGTACCTTTCCCTAATGGTTCCGCCTGGTGGGGACAGATTAAAATACTCTACGCACCGCTGAGCCATCAAAATGGAGACGCTAACGCTATTTAAGTAAATGTTTTCTTTACTCCTGGCTAATTGCGTTTTCAAGGTAATTATGATTACGTTCATTTATCACCTATCAAACTGAACAGGGCTACCCATCGAGTCTAGCAGGAAAAGTAACACTTTCGGCATTTGGCACTTTTTCTTTTTTGCCATAAACCTTGTTTTTGCAAAGTTTAGAAAAACGGAGTATTTCCTACTTCTGTGGGATAACTTGCGTAAAGATTGTCTTATGAGTTGGAGCATTCTTTTTTTATCGTCCGATAGCACTTGTTTATCTTTATTTTAGAGAACAGTAAGAACTTACTCCCTATTGTATGTGGCACTCGATAAGGGATCCAATGCAGAAAGTTTTCCGTTCACATTGTATACATTTTTTAGTGTAGCGTAAAAGAATTACGAAGGAAAATGTTTCTGTTTTTTTTTTTATGTTCGTTATTTTTTACAAATAAAGCGGCATGTGTTTTTCATAATTAATGAACGATCAGATGGTTATGAATTTCCTCCGTAATGCGACAGTGCACATGAATGATTACATTTCATTTGCAATCAAGTAAAAATTCAATGCATCTTTTTTGAAATGAAATTAATTTGAACAATAAAATTTTTTAAGATAAAAATTCTTTTTCAACGAAACTTATTCCTTCGAAATTATTAAATATATTTCTTATATAAAATATTTTCCAATTATATATTTTCTATTAACTCAGGGCATAAAATATGAGATATCGAATTTAATATATAAGAACGGAATATATGTTATATACTAAAATATATGATAACAAGGTTTTTTTTTTCTTTTTTAAGATGACCAAGAGGATCACTCAGAGGATATCCCTTATGAGTATCACATGGTAACGCTCACTAAAAAGTGAGAAAACAAAAAGGGATAGGAAGTGGTCGCAGACGATTGCGGGTCTGCGCAATCCGTATGTGCTATGCTTCTACCGACCAATCGTTCGCTATAGTTGCGATCTAGCATGCTCAGTCTCATTGGTATTTGAACCGTGAGCACTTGGGTTTCGTATAAAGGAAAACTTTTCACAATTTATAGAAATAGAGATATATTATGTTAGTTGGAAGAGCTATTGCCGCCCTCGAGTTTTTTGCTCTAAGAATATTTTGAACGTAATCTGTTGATTAACTACTACTAACTGATGGACTGACAGTAGAAGAGCGCACAGTCCATTTACAGTCGTACTCTTAGTATTAGTATGTCCTTGGTTGTAGCGTTCGTTAGTTAACATTGTTGTATAACGAAAGTTATATTAGATAGTTTTACTGCAACTTTATTACTCTGGCGTATAAAAGCCATAAAGGAAAACAAACAAGAAACCACACTCACAAACTCACGCTTTCAATTACTAGTGGTGGCTAGGTTTTTACACAAGAGTGTAACTGTTTGAATCTTAAGCTGGAATTATGCGGAAGTTACTAACAAAATCCTTCCTGTCATTCAGTTTTAATAAAAGAACTTTTCCTTTGCCCTTTCAATAATTACTTAAAACTTGTTCCTCGCTTTTTCTCACTTATTATTATTATTATTATTTTAATTTTAGACTAATGAATTGAATTCTTAGACTAAAAAAAGAGACATTCAGCACTAGCAACACAGGCTATCGGTTCATTCTCACTTAAACATAGAAAAAACTGTCAAAATATTATATTATACATAACATCATTATCGACAATAAAACGAAACTCGATCTCTCTAATGAGATAGATATATGAGAGAGAGTGTTTGTAAAGCAATTTAATTTATTGATATTAATCGCGGCGGTAATATTCTTCCTTGCATCGAAATATTTTTGTATTGTTATTAATTAATTATTTACCTGCTTATCTAATAGTATATTACTGCTGCATTGTAGAAATTCTTCCGGTCCTATATGTTTGGCTAACTTCTTTTCTATGCGGCATAATATTTGTGCATATTGTGTTGAAGTGCGGCATTCAAATAACTTTGTCTCAGACTGCCAAAGGTATGGGAATGCCAAAAAAAAAAAAAAAAAAATTATTATAAGTGGAATTTTTAATTTGATTAGAGCTGTGATACCTTGTCAGCTGTAATTTGACAGGAGCGCAATTCTTCCTCATGTCTTTCCAAATCAGTCAAACGTTTTAGCAAGGCACTCAATATTTCGGAAACTGTAGCTTCTAAGCGTGTATGGGAACATCTGTAAATGGGAAATTTTTAATACAATTTTAAGAAGACGCGTTTATAGTAACTACAGCAACTAAGAAACTAATGAAAGCAAACGATAACTTTGCAAGTATATAGAGTTTGTCATGCATGCATATCACCATAATGTGATTTGAAATTTAATTAAATTCTATTGCATATGAAAATTTCGCGAAATTGATATGCATCGTTATATGCACATATTTGACTGAGAAGTTTCTAGATTTTAATCACAGTTAAATGTTATTAAATATTAACGTCGTTGTCTTTAAAATGTTTGTGAATATTCTAAAAATTTAACTGATGGAAAGTGTAAAAGTGAAATTTGATATTTATTTTCTTAACTATTTGTCTGTTCGACTAAAAGAAGAGAGTCGTTCACAGTACACAAAGAGAAGCTTAAAGCTACGTTTTTTGTCATCTAAATTCCAATTAGGAATATCTGTTTCATTAATAATAATATACAAGTACGAAGATTACATTCGGTCTAAAGACTAAATTTCCATAACAAGTTAACCATGGGTGATTATTTCAATTTTTTAGACTTTACATCGCGTAATGAGCGAAAACACTCAGAGCGAATGTGTTTTTGTTGCATGAGCGTGCATTTTGATCGGTTTTTGGTTATTTTCAAATCCTTTTGCAAATCTGTGGGCGATATCTTCATTTCTGCAAACGGGAAAGTGTTTACCATAGATACTGCACAGCTATGCTGACGGACATGCTCAAGCGCATTCCTAATTTGAAACTAGTCAAGCGTTTATATACCCTATTGGCTTTCGGCAGCCTGCTCCTGATCGTTATAAAGGCAATAAAAAAAAAATTAAAATTTTCCCCGTTTTCGTAAACGCATTACAGCATCGCCCATAGAGCGTGCGTTCAAATTTTTGTAGATTTGTCTGCTGTAGTTTTTTGGGGAAGGAGCAAAACCCGTCTTTTTATTGCTTTTGAAATAAAGGCGTTCTCAGTTTACGTAACACTGTACACGTGTTTTTGGATCGATTTGGTCCATTTGCAATACTAACAACTTCTAATGTCTCTGCCGAATATGTGGAAAAAAATTCATTATCTTATTTCGGAGTTTTTCCCAGGCTTTCTATATCATCCTGGATGGTTGCATTCTAATATCTAAGCTAATGATTCCAAGCTCGTCTAATGCATCTCTCCCATCTGTCATGATCAAGTACCTTTTGTCACAGCCTTTATAGAGCTCTTAGAGACGCAAATAGGGAATGTGAAGAGGGGATGAGGGAAAACTGACTCTGTCAGGCCCCATTGCTTCTCAATGATTCATTGGAAATTGAACGAAATTCGGTTTGAATTATCATATGTTGTTGTCTGTTTTGGATCCATGCTGATCTATGGTTTGCAAGATCTGACGTTTCAAACAAAATTTAGAAACGGCACTTATCGTAAAGCACGTCACAGCATAGTGGCAGAGTAGAGACGAATAAAATATGAACTTCCGATAACATGAGGCGAAGCAATAATTTTCACAATTTTTAAAGACATACATGCGTAGATTTGTATTAGTTTGTAAAAACATTCACTTACCTGGCAACGATATGTTTAACATGGCTCATCATACGCTCATCGCGGTAATCATATGGAAATTTATTTGTCCATTCGGCTAAAAAAGCGACTAATGACTCTAGTGATTCGCTATCAGGTACCGATGATAAAAGTTTGCCCAACAATACATGTGGACGCAAATACAAACGTGACGATAGTAGAAACGAAAAAATGAATTCCTACAAAACAAGAAAAAGTTTATGATATGCTTGCAGATATATTTACTAAGCTAATGCTTTGGCATTTGGTCTGCAAAGAATCTAAATTAAATATTGTTTTTTGTTGAAATATTTTTTTTTTTTTTTTATTGCTTTGCTCCTAATATGTGCATGTATTCGTTTAATTTGACTGCCGATTTTAGTGTAACCAGTAACATGGTGTTCGTTTTTGTTTATTTCTTGGTCTATATGTTAAATATTTCATTAGCTTACTTGCCGAGAATAGAAACAAAAAAGGCAAAAAAAGGAAACAAAAAAAAAATAAAATAAAATAAAAACGTAAGTAAAAGCATATTTGGCAACTAACATAAAACTTTTGGCAAAGTTAAGCACAAATATGTTTGTGTGTGTGTGTAAAGCAACGAACCAACCATCAAGTAATTTATAAAACATTTCATTTATTCGTTGTTTCACCAAATACAAGAGCACTTCTCTCTCGCTCCCTCTTTCTCTTTCTCTTTCTCGTCTTCTTGTTTTCATTCTCTCTTGGGTAAACCATTTAAATAATTTAACAACATTTTAACAGTATTAACCACAAACAAATTGGGTTTTTTCAATTTTTTTATTTTCTTTTCGTTAAGGATATCGTTTTACGGCTTAGCTTTAAAAAAAGTTGTAAAATTTTTTCTTCTTTAGTCTTCACAAGTGTTGCTCGATATGTGCTACATCCTGGCATCGATAATTGTGATCTCATTTTTTTTTTACGAAAATCTTATGTAGTTTACATTATATAAATAAAAGTATATTATGTATATATACATCTACTCAAAATGTTCCGTCATTTAATAAGTTGTCCTATGGTAGCCTACAGTAGAATGCCAATAATGAGACACCACCTACGCAATCTTATATAGGTTTTGTGATGCATATTCAATCAAAATTCAAATTTCTACATTTCCAAAAGTGCTTTCATCCAAATGATACCATAAAAGCAAATTCGAAGAGAAAATGCAAAGCCATCCGAAAAGCGAATATACAAATGCCGCAAAATCATCAAATATCCTACACCACATCATCTAAAAAAAAAAATCTTTCTTTATTTTCACAGCAAAATACTTGAAATTATACCTTACTTTCCTATCAGGGCATTCTTTTCATGACAGGCTTTACAAAGAAGCGGATTGGAAACGTAAACTGGACTGATCCAAATTTAATAAGATTCATTTTCCTTCTAACTTTTTTTTGGAGACAAAGGATTACTTAGTTTTGGTGAAGAACCAGACACATTCCGAACCGATTGGATAGATCTATCCTACGTCCTTCTCGATCTTGCACACATCCCCAAATTTAATGCAGTCTATTGTGGAGGGCAGAGCATAAAAAATGTGTAAGCGTATTGCTTAAGTATCGACGCAAGTTTATTTATTTATTTCTTTTTTTTACAAAAAAAAAAAAAAAAAACGATGGAAATCCTCCAAATACTTGTCATTATAGTATGCAGAAGAATATTAAATTATTGTCCAGTAACAGCATTGAACATATCAAAAAATAATTCATATATCGAGCAATCCGCGTAGTTAAGCTAATCTAAGAACGCGTAAGGTGTTGCGTGTCTTAACTTTGTTAGAAATTCTTTGTTGTTTTTATTTTGGTTTGCTTTAATTTTTGTGTTTTTTAAGAACTTACCTTATCTAAGTCGTTTATATTTTTTGGCACTAATACGTCTATAAGTGATTCTAATGGACCAGAAACTATTCTACCGTTTATGTACATAATACCACCAGAACCCAAAACCGAACTCTGTAAATGACAATAAAAAGCAAAAAGAGAAAAAAAAAAAACAAGAAAAGGATGAACTAAAATTATTGCAGCTGCATAAAAAATGTCATTGGTTTTTTTATGGATTTTATCTTTGCTTTAGTGTGTACACAATCTAAATATATCTCAAACGTTTCTATTTACCTCAAAATTGACATCACATTGGCTACGCTTGTGTGTATTCTTGGGTACATCATATTGAACTTCAACACTTTTGTCCATATAACTGGATGTGTTGTCGCTACTGTTCTTGGCTATTGATGCAGTTGTTGTATTGTTAGAAACCTTAGAGAAAAATCAATTAAAAAATGTAATTTTCGAAACAGAGAATTAAATTAAATATGAAACAAGTAAAAAAATTATATTCGGCTGTGAACGAATCTCTTATACCTACAATACGCTCTGATTTACAAAAAAAGCAAAGAGCAGTGAGAGTGTAGTTTATGAGTTAGGTTGAATAAAACCTTTTCTCTGCTTATGCTACATGTGCCTTGCGGCTTATTTTCGATTTTAACCTGCCTGCCAAAGTTCCTTCCAAAGTTTTTGCCAAATTCCAAGTCGATATCTTAATGTTTTCGATCAGAAGAGTCCAAACACATGGTCAGAAGGAAGGACAGACAGGCCTATATAGACTCATTGACCAAGAGTATGCATATTTTCTGAGGGTCTTTGAGCTTCCTTCCTGGTTTTCGCAAACATGTTGGTAAAATGTCTATATCTCTACTGTTTGGTGTTGGCTAAAGCAAGGACATAAATCTCTCTTAAAAATTTACTACAATTTGATAGTAAAAGATACCTGGAATGCATTATAAATTCATACTAAGCGTATTAATATAATAGCGTTTCGTATTTGCTTATTTTCATTATTCTTGGGTTGCGGAAAATTGAAAAGCAAAACATAAAAAAAAAGGAAAAAGCATTTATAAAAAGTTTTCTCAGTTTGCTTCGGATTGTTGTTACGCATTTCTCTATAAATGTTAGAAAGTTGTGTCCGATTACTTTCTATATCACATTTCCGTTCTACATGTTGTAAAATATGTATAGAATTATATATATTTGTTTGTTTGTTTGTTTGTTTGATTATAAAGCAAAATTAAAATTTTCATTTCCGTTTCATATAATAAAAGGAAATGAACAGGAATTTTATATGTATGCAAACATACACATAAATATTTTAAATGTAAAAGCACGAGGATAGAATATAGAAGCTAAAGTTTCTTGAAATTAAACAATTTAGTCTTCTTCTTTAAGTTTATTTCATTTTCATTTGACTTTTTATATTTCTCCATTGGCTAAACGTTTTTTTTTTCTATGCTTCTATTGAACGTGTATGCGATTGTTTGGGCTTGCAATAAATAGACACATAGTCACCTGCTTAACTGAAATGTAATATCAAGCACCCACACAAATCAAAGATAATAATAAAATTATTCTCGTAGTAAATAGATTCGCTTCGCTCTCTTCCACTCTCTCTTGCTATAGCGTTCTCTTTATTAAAGATTGCTGATCGCTATTTCGAAGGCCATCTAGTATTTGATAGGAGTACTATTTCGTATGTGGACTGTGTGTATATATAAACTCTCTTCTAATTAATCTCGCGAGTTCACTTGCTTGTACATTTCTTATGAAAGATGGTGTTGTCTTTTCTGAGAGTAAAATCTACTTTCTGAGAGTAAAATTTACGGCACAAGTATTGGAATTTGCAGAGTTGTGAAGATTTCATAATATTTTTCATAATAATTGAATACATTATGAGAGCAACTTTTTACAATGATAATCTAAATGCAAAATGCACGTATTGAGCATTTTAAGTTGAATATTTTTTATTCAAGAAAAACATTTTGAAGGTCACTAAAGTCGAAGCAAATTAAAAGCCAAAGAGAATAAAAAGAGTAAAATGGATTGTGAAGTTTGTGACTATATTGTCGAAAGGTTTTTGATTGCTCTTAATGTTAGGTAAAATTAAATTAATCTCTTAATGTTAGATTTTTTCAGTCTTAGCTTAATAGACGATAACTTTCGCTTTTTACTCCCCAATGCATGAATTTTTTCTTCTATGCGATCGATATTTTCAATTAAACCGAAATTCAGATCTCTAGTATATTTGCATATATTTTATATATATATTTTATATATATATATATATAATTCTCCTTTAATATAACACAGATTAAAGAGAAGAAAAATTCTTCTTTTATTGTTTATTGTACTTTTCAGCGGCTTTTTTAAATCTACACCCAATCTACTATTTTTCCATTTAAGCAAAGCCTTTTTTTCACGAATTTTTTTACACGATTTTGTGCGAATTTTTTGGAAACGTATCTTCGTGTAAAAAGAGAATTAGGTGTATATATGCGTGTATATGTAAGAGTGTAATTTAATACGGACTGGTTATATGTATACGTGTACACGCCAAAGCATAACTTAGTACATATCATCAAATTAATTCTATTATTCTATTCAGGCATCGCACAGAGTGTAACAAATATTTGATCATTTAAAGGGAAAATTTATGAATTCATTTCATTCAATAATCGTCCGTATTAATTATACTCGTTTCTTTTCTTTGCTTTTTTTTATTAAATTTTACACGAACTAATATTCAGTTTTCTCACCTCCTAAAAACCCCAAGGAACCGACATTCAATTCTGTAACACAATTTGATGAATTTGATTAAATTCGTTACATATCTAACGTTCAAGGATAATCTTATTTGTAGCTGCCACACAAAAAACTTTCTTGAACAAATCATGTTTCAAAAGTTTTTAAGCAAATTTCAACTACATGTCAATTTGCATAAATTTTTTCAGTGTTCTTGGGAAAATGTTGCAATATTTGCTAACATATGCGTTCATGTTTTACCATGTTATGTTTAATGCATGCACACATGTTGGATGGGCAAGAGAGATATTACGGATATGTGTTTATGTTTGCTTATAAATTCGGTTACATTTTTCATTGCTAATTTATTATATTTCTTTCACCCTACACTATCTGTGGTGCAAGGGTATATTGCGGATGTATGTAATATACATACATGGACTTGAAACAGACTCACCTTTCAATATACCGATCAATCCAGAAAGGGTCATTCTGCATCCAAGATCTAAGTTCATCTATCCACCTGTCTGTCTTGCTTTCTTGTGTTCAGTCAACAAGTCGAATTTTTTTGAGATAATTTATTGAAATTTGATACACGTACGCCCAAAGACCAACAAATGCGGATCACTTTTTTGACCATTTCCGATATAATGAACCATTTTAAAAAGTCGTTGTATGAATGAACGTAGAGTGATGAATGGCCGTGGCCCACTAGAATTTTTTTACTTGGCTTCATTTCATTCGCAAAATTTCTCTCTGATTTTCGTTTTTTTAGATTTGATGATACAACGTGATATAATTTGCTTCACTTTGGCGAATATTCTAATTTAGATGGTTTGCAAGAATTGGTAATGGATTGACAAAAATGACGTTTTAGTGTTCTCCTCCTTCTTTTCCCGCATTATGTCGATTATATCTGAGAGAGAGAGAGCGAGAAAGAGAATCGAAATTTCTTTTTTGTCAACCTCTTAGACGGGATAAAATAACTATCCTTACCAGAACTTTATTGTTAAATAGAGTTTTTCAAATAAAATTCCTTATCGTAAGATTTTGTCAGAAATGTTGAAACTTTTTAAACTTGGAAACGGATATAAGATTAGATATGAGATATTAGATTTGCAATTCTCTCTCTCTCTCTCTCCGTCTCTCTCTCCTGCTTTGTTCGGTAATACGATTCGAAATGAATCGAAAATATAATGAATTGAAACAAAACATTAAAAAAAAATTGTTTACAATGAGTTTCCCCCTTTTTTTTTAAAAGAAGAAATTTTTCTGGCAATTAATGTTTGAAATCAGACAGGGGTAGAAATAAGTTTTAGAGGATCTATAACAACAAATACAAGTCTTTCAGTTATTTCTAAGAATACAGCTGTATGCCCATTTTATCAAAACGTTTGTTAAACGAACTCTGTAATAATTCACATATTGTCTGTCCGAAAATGGTTTACATTTCATATTTCGTCTTGACAGAGAATTACAATAGCGCTAACTCCACGATTTTTATATACATCGCGGAAGGATATCCCCTATATTCATTTTGTCAAAATGTTTGCAACGACCTGAGGGAACATCCTCGAACCTGCAAAGTATATATATTTTTAATCAGCCTCGAAAGCTGCCTTGTTTTATCCATCTGTCCGTCTATCTAGTGTCTGTTGTAAATGCCGCAGAAACGATCTTATCAGCTTCAATTGTGGGAGAAACATTGCAAGTTCTTGAGCTCAGAGTAGTGCTAAGAATGGGTCAAATCGGTTGATCTACAGTACCACGTAAATTGGTCACACACATGCTTCCAAAAGAGTTTGTTTGCTCGTTGCTCAAAAAATGGCAACAGATAAAATCGAGAAAAACCGAGCATTTATATTTTAAGGGCAATACTGCGGTACTTATACAAAACAGCAGGAAGCCACTCACGCCCGCCCATTGTTAAAGTATATTAAAGTTTCACTTTTTTGTCAAAACTTTTTTACAACACCATGAAGCCTCAAAAAGTCCGACATATATATACATTACTGGCCAGCGTCAAACTCGGAATTCGTCACATTTTTGTCTGTTCATCTGTAATATCTGTACACATACATCTGGCACAGAGGCATCCCCCTAACCAGCATAAACCTTGATTAAAGCATTGAAAGCGCGCAAAAGCTTGGCAACGGATAATATTGCAACAGTGTGGTACAACTTTTGAATCCAACGAAGATAGATACGAGATTAAAAGCTAATCAAGATACGACAAAGGCCAAACTCGCGTATTTAGATTTTGGCAGAGGACTCTAAATGGATTGAAAAACCCCTAATTATATCTCCATTGACTAAGTATTAAGAAAGTAAATTTCCTAGGGAATCGGTTCAATACATTGCAGCTTATCTCCTGAAGTAATGTCGGCGATTCGATAATACCATTGAGTAATTTAAATAAGAAGTAAACAATGAGAAGTGGCCGCAAGGCAAGTAAAGGCAATCTATTGTCGTAAAGAGCCAAGGTTATCAAACTTGAATATTTCCTTTTTATAATCTCTGGCAGAATAACAATACAAGTGGGTATAAAAAATCCGATCGTAGCTGAATACAAATTTCATTTTTATAGTGTTATTCGCTTGTACTCGAATTTTCAACAACGAGTGCTGTTTTCTGACACTTGAGCAAACTTCTCTGAAAAAAGGATCACAAAAAAAAAAAAAAGATGAAAATTTAAAAAAAAAAGAAGCTGTCTGTGAACTAAGATAGCTTTAAGGTCTAATGACTACATAAATAACAGTTTAAAGAAAATGCGTGTTTTTCGCGATAGCTAGAAGCAATAAAGATGTCTTGATAAAGACTACTTGCAGATGTAATATATAATTAATGAAATTATGGTTTTCAAGTAAGGCGATTAATTAAAGCACTCACCTCAAGTTTTTGCAACCCCGTATCACAAATATCCAACTGCTCGCTATGTCTACGTCTGTAACGTATACCATCGGAGGAGCTGGGAATTTCAATTCCAGTGTCATTAGTTGAGAATAAAGTTGATACCGATGTTTCCGTTGTTCCTGCCTCATTTGTATCCGTAACATAAATTCGACCGTTGGCGGCCATAGCGAAATCATTGTCATCGTTATTATAATCTTGCATATGTAAGCCAGCACTTCTGCCACCATTGTTACGTATACCTTCTCTATCGTCCGTATCGTCATCATCATCGGTGTCTGTGTAGATATGTGAACGCGTTTTCCCACCAGAATTGGCCGTGCATTTATCACGATCACGTTGACCGCGAGACTTTTGTAGGACAGTTTGTTTGCAACGTGTACCGCAAGCGATGGCTGATATTTTACTAGCATAATAATACATAGCCATGTGTCACGTTTCGATTGAGGCGCGAACGCGTGGACCGTACATTTGGCTAAAAACTAAAAATGCGACGTTGAGATAAAAGTAAAAACTATACTACACTGACTGTGAAATTTAAAATTTAAATTATGCAAAAAAAAAAAAGAAATCTAATGCAAGGAGTGTATGACGATGCGCAGAGGGAAGGAATGCCCGAATGCTGTGAAGAGTTTGCTTAACTTTCTTCTTTTTTTTTTTTTTTTGCTGTATGTTAAATATTTTCCGTTGAACTCGTTGTACTTTTAGTTTATATTCTCTGCTTGTGTTGTTCTTCTAGTTGCTATATATATGTATATACATGTATGTTAACATATTTTCTTTTCAGTGATTGATTTAACGCTTTAGGCACGTTCATGTGTACGCGCTTATTAATTTACATCAATCTAAGCGTTAAACTATCAATATGCGCATACTTGCACATTGTTGAACATATACACGGTTTCTATTTGTAATTTGTTTTTGGCAACAACGTGACCAATACAACGTACGTTAGTTACAGTTACCGAGGGCAACGTGATTCTGATTTGAAATTACCGTACATTCTCCTCACTTTATAACATTTTCTGACATGTCTTCAGATGAAATACGTAAGCACAAATATCACTTCATTTCATTTATGCGAAATCTTAGTTTTATTTCACTTTTTCTTCATTAACAGGAACAAGAACAACTGACGATAGAAACTTTCGTAAATTTCTTTTATCATAATCGTATTCTCTTATAAAGTTAAGCTTCAATTATAAGGATTTTTTTCTTTTTTTTTTTTTTATAAATATTTCCACTGAACTCGTCGCTTTATTTTCCTTTATGACATCAAAAAAAAGCGATGCACTTTTCCTCATATTTGCGATGATGACATCTTTCTAAGTTTTCTATAAAAAGCATTTTCGACTTTTTTTAATATTGTAGTTTTTCTTTTGGTTTCCTCTGCTTCGGGTGTCTGTCCTCAGTTCGCGTTTAGTTGAAATTAAAGTTGAATTTGTTATGTTCACTGTACGTAACTTACATTCACATTTCTTATATCATATATGATATATACATATATATACAAACATATATAGTACATAAACATTGAGAAATTTATGCGAAGGATTATTCACATAAATATAAGTACATACATCTATGAATGGCAATGCGGTAGATTACATTTACAATGAAAATTATATCTGTAGTCATGTACAATGATGTGTGCTAGCAGACGACGCAGCAGAACAGAAGAAAAGTCTGTAAAGAAAAATAAAAAAAAAAAAAAAAATTGCTTTGTAAATACGAGAGCTGAGCATGTGAAAGGCGATATAAATTCATTTAAAAGAGAAAGTAATTTGTTTGTATGTGGGTATGCAACTGTGTATGTGTGTCAGTTTGCTTGTTTATGATATGGCAGATTATTTGTGCAAATTTAATTGAATTTCTTAATGTGCACGGTTTTATCTTTTTCTTCATGAAAAATTGAATTGTATAAACCGCCGAACAATTTAATCGTTTCGGTTTTACGTCCATCTCGCTTTACATATATATATATACAAATATATAAACATGCTTTGCTTTGGTAACTAAAAAAGAAAAAATATATAAAAAAGATGTTCAAGTAATTTAAGAGATTCTTGTTTCTTCTTAATATTCAGAATTAAACTTTAAAAATGTTTTCGTTAATTAATGCAAAGTTTGCGAAGTCCACATAAGTTGGTTATCGATTACAACTTACTAAAGGAATGAAGGCAACTATTAATTAATGGTTATTTCACGAATTCAAATAAATTTTTAAATTCTCGAATTTCGTTAAATTTTTATTAAATGTAATAATTTTTGCTTTCTTTCCAGAAGGATGATTCAGATTTTGCACAATGGCCGAGATTCAATTTTTCAATTTCAATTTAAATTCGTTTATTTTCTAACTATAAAGCTTATAAAAACCAAATCCGTAACAAGTTACACAGTTTAAGTACTTTACAAAGTCCGAAATTCGCTAAAACTTCTATTTGCGAAATCACTTACGTTAACACTTTGTATTGATCTCTACTTAGATTTTCTGGTTGTGTTCGACTCTGCTACATATTCCGTTGATATGCCGATTTCACATTTGACAAAAAACAAGTATGTCCTATTGCAGTTCTTTGTTTTCTCTCAAGGTGAAACACGAAATGTAAACCATATTTTCGGACAGATGATATGTGAATTATTATAGAGTTCTTTTCTTTTCGTAGCCGAGTAGATAAGGGACGCGATTATCTAGTCCGCGATCGTGAGTTCAAGTCTTAGTACAGTTTGAATTTAAATAACCGTACCCATAGGTATTGCTCGGTCGACAAAGGTATAAGACAACGATTGGGCACACACCCTCTTGGCTGTGGCCGCTCTCCATCGCTTCCTCTTCAGTCAACTCTTTTTACCCAAGCCCGTGGCAGACGTCTCCTGAGTAATTCCTTTCTTACGTTAAATTCTAAATTAACACTTTGCGATCGATGATGGGATACTAAAAAAAATCCGACTTTCGTAAAAAAATTGTAAAACTATAAAATAGCTACATTTTTGGGCAATATCTACTTATTCCATTGTTTGTTTGCGTTGTTGTTGTCTCATATTCACAAGTAAATGAAGGATTAATCACCAGCGGCAACAGGCAATGATCTCAAAAAACTTCACACATCGCTGTCGAGGTCAGCTTAGAGATCAAAAGCTATACTATGTTATCACAAGTCGCTTTACTTTTGCCGAAAGTACCAAATAAGTGAACCGAATTTCACCAAAACGTCCGCAGAGTAATGATCTGGAAGTTAAATGCAAGAATAAATGGTAATCAGATGGACCAATGAAGAAATGGAACAAAGTCGATTCAGGAAATGATTCTATTCATTCGCTATAGTAAAAACTGGACTTCAAATTGCACACGTAGGCGCAATCTTGGTACATTCTTATAACAAATAGTTTAGGTAAAATAAATGGATTCCACCAATCCGTCTGCTATATAAACGATCGCATGTAGTCTTTCTTGACTTCTGCCATATTGGCATTAAAGGCAATAAAAAAGTTGTAAAGTAATTTCAACGAAATTAAATATTGCACATTTTATGTCATAGCTATTCTTCTCCCTCTCTCTCTCTCTCTCTCTCTCTCTCTCTTTCTCTCACACACACACACTGGGTTAGAAACTTTGAAGCCGTTGTATTCGTAAGTATCATTTATTTTTCTGACTTATGCAAATAAGTAAATATGTGAACAATTAATTCCAAATTGAAATATCTCTGGCTTATATGACGAATTGAAGCAATATGGATGCACTTACATAAGTGTATCTATTCAGGCTGAACCAATTAAGCAATAAATCCAGTAAATTCCCATTATGAGAAAATTATGAGAAATATACTATTCATAGCATGTATGTGTGCGTTTAAATAGGCAATCCTTGCATTTGTTATAATTGTGTGCACAATTTTGTATGTCAAACGAATATCGATATGTGTAAGGTCAAGCATGCAATATCAAACCATAACATAAGTCATCACATGGTCAAACCGCAAGCATTCTTTGACCTAATTGTTCGGTATCAAAATATCTAACCCAACCCTATTTAGTATCTATAATACACTAAATATTGTGTACGCATAACACCGGGCATGTAACATAATAAGCAGTTATCAGCAGAAGTACGTAACTTTAGGTTTTATAGTATGAAGAGAATTCATGCTTCTTACTCCTACATCTTTCTCAAGGGGACATTAATAAGACTAATTATATTTAGTTAATGGCTGCGAAGGTTATATTTACGGAATTATCGAAGCTTAAGCTTTATTCAATGTAGAATTTCAATAGGAATTGTGAAAGGACAAAAGCGCAATCACATGGGATGGGTGGTGTGTTGCACAACTCAATTAAAGTACTTTTCTTCTAGCTGACTTAAATTAAGGTTATCAAGATAGATAACTTTGGAAAAGATTTACTGACACGTACAACACATACAAAAAGTTAGTTGAAGATTCTTTATCGATATTGGTTACTGTATCATAGGTTCACATCTGGTTATTATGAAAGAGATTAAAATTATTTAATTAAATAATTGTTTTAACATAATTAGTTAAGGTAGTAAATTTAATCTGAACTTTTACATCTTCTTACACTTTCACGATGTTTTCAATTTTCTTGGAATATTTGCTGAGTTAAATAGTATTGATAATGACGACCTGGATATGCTTTGACATTATTTTCCATTTTCATATTATTATATACAAGTACAGTACATAGTTCAAGTATACATAAAAATGAAATACACCTTCACATAATATCCGGTATGTGCATATGAAAACAGGACCTTTTTATGGATAATATACATTAATAGTAAACGAGAATGGTAAAAAATATCACATTTGAAGTGTTCTGCATTGCTTGTTACGTATTTTCCTCGTTATCTGACCATTTGTAGATCCTACGCGAAAAAAAGAAGAGCTATCAACATGTCGCGAATCGATTTTGTAATATGGATGGATGGACCGACGGAAAAGTGCCCTTGTGTTGCTTTGTTTCTTATATCAAATTGTTTGAATCAATTCATTGTTGTTAGTAGCGCTTGCAAGCAACCGTTTCATTAGACTTTAACAGCTAATAACAGAGAAGACCGTTCTGGTCCCATCAAAATGCTTCTACCAATCATTACCTGTTATGAAACATAGCTAATAGCTTCTTGTCTTCCGAAGGCGAAAGAATTGCGTCTTCAAAATTAATCTGCAGCCATTAGCGGATATAAAAGCTTCAGCTTTCTATCTAATTGTCTAGAATAACAGTCTTAAGCCCGGGGTGTATGGTTAGATCGAAGAAGAAGAATTTTTTAATAATATATACATTTTGTGTAGTCTCGTAACAAAGTTAATATATTTCCATTCTTCAGTCGTGGAGTCCGTGAAAAGATGATGAAGAGAAATCATGCTGTCAGGGTACAGTACAGTACTATACTATACTATAACGCTTATAAGTACCTTATGCCATGATGTGACCACGCTTTTGCTTTCAGTAAGTATCGTAGTTCATTGTAATGTGTTTTAAGAGTTTAGATATCCGTCTGAGTGATCAAGTAAGCAATGAGTCTCGATTAATAATAGCCTTAATAAATCCGATTGTCTTAGACGCTAGTCTTTTAAGGCTTTAGCCTTAGAAGACTTTCTCTAGCTAAATTAATAATAATAACAAGAATTTAGATACAAAAGAAAGAAGAGGAAGGGTCAGTAGGTAGCTTAAAATCACCTACTCCTGCTATCTAGCACATGTCCAACAAGAGAATCTTCGGCAATAATATTAATTCCAATGCGTGCTCTTTGCCTAACGAAAATTATTGCTCATCTTTTTCATATACACACTCTGGCTATTGCAAATGATATGATAAAACTGGCATAACTCGATCATAATGACTTTGTTATATAAAAACCGATTTATTATTACAACGACATGGTTTATGTTTTAAAATACATTTTATATCATATTTGCTGACATGGTTTCATAAAAACATTTAATTTTTAATTTTTTTTCTTCACATTTAATAGTATTTGTAATTTATTATGCATTTAAAATTTCAATAATAAACGTAAGGATTTATGAGTAAAATCTGAAAAAAAAAAAATACTTTTTTGATGAAAATTAATTTCGTCAACAAAGCCATTTATCTTATTAAGTTAGATCAGTTCCTAAAAATGATTTCGATTTAAAATGATTTAATAATTTGACTCATAAATAAAATGATTCTTTATCCATAAAAATGAAAAGGTAAAGCGAAAATGTATGGATTCATATTTTTAATTAATTATTATTATAATAAGAAGATTAAAAATTTAGCATAAGCAAAAATCATAAATATCGTATATCTCTGACAAATAACTACATGTGCGAATAAAGTTTTATTTATTCGGTCGTAGAATAAATGGTGAATTGTTTTTGAGATTACAATACATTTTTATGCGCATACACTCTCCTTTTATTAAGTACTTATTACTTGTGGTCCTCTTATCTGAAATTATCAGAGTAAGCTTGTAATTCAATAGCAAGAGCTAGGTTTCTAATTCGAAACAACATATGGGTTGCCCTTGCGGACAAACACTGCAGGAAAATTGAAGGAATCAAAGCTGGTGCTAAGGAAATTGCCGAGATAGCAGCTACGATAATTTGCCACCGCATCGTGGTTTCACATCTTTTAAAAGATACTGAATTCTATGGTTGCATTTGCAACCCGAGCGTAGATGAGA